TAGTCACTAAATGAGTTGCACATCATAGGTACATTATAATAATTAGAACAAATAAATGTTAAAACTCCAATTTGACACTGCTTTCATTGATGTAGCTCTTACATTCAGTACTATAATGTATGGCAACATAAAATTGTACTGTACTATACAGTATGATCAGCAAAAATTACAGTACTGTTTGAACATGGTGTGGTTACAAAAAAAGATTGAGGCTCTATAAACAAGATGTACAGAACTGCACACACAAAAAAAGATAGGTTTAAGTCTGATGAGCATGCCTCAGTCATAAGTCCAAACAATTGTTAAATAGGTAGATCATTTAAGGAAGAATATCTACTTTCTATATAGAGTGATTTTTTTTAAAATTATTTTTATCATGAATGGATATAATGCCTCTCATCACATCACTTGGAAGGTTGAGCAGGAGCATTGCTGTAAGTTTGAGCCTAGCTGAGCTTCAACCATAGTGAGTTTCGCTGTGGTTTCTCTTGCCATTGATTTCTAGTTTCATTGCACTATTGTCTAGTAATATGCATAAAAATTTTGATTCTTTTGTATTTTTTTAAGCATGCTTTATTGGATAATACACAGTCTGTTCCATATGCTGTTGAACATGTATTCTGTTATTGAGTGAAACACTGTGTATCTATTAAGTCCATTTGTTCAGTGGTTTGACTCAACTCTGATATTTGTTCGAGGCTGGCCTTGAACTTAGTAGAGCAATGTTCTTGCCTCACCCTCCCAAGTGTTGGTATTATAGTCATGCAACACCATGCCCAGTTCCTACAGTGCAGCAAGTTACAGTCCTTACTTTATAGCCTATAGGTTTGTGAGGTAACCCCTCTGCTCAAAAGGTCTCTACCTCCTCTCTATGAGCCCGAGACTATGGCATCTGTCCAGTGCAAGGCACAATCTTTTCATGTTGGTACTCAGAGAAGCAATGAGACCACTAGTCTCCATTGGATGTAGGCAGAGGGATAGGGACTCAGGCACACCACTGGACTAAATGCCATTGTCTTAGCATCCAGCCACCACTGAAAATTTTACCTGTCAAACCTGGACTCCCACTCTGGGCTGTAGGGCCCATGTCCTTCCCCCTTAGTCTTGTCTGTTCCTTACCCACTGTGTTTCCCGTAGCTGTCTTTCACCCAGTCATTGTGATAGAATAACATGTTAGACCTGGAGTGAAGCTATAGTAGTTTTTCTGTGGTTCAGTCTCAGAAAATCACCCTCTTCCCATAAAGGTACTTTATTAAACTCTCTGGCAATATGGCAGGTGCTACACTGGATTTCTTCTCAAACTGTCCCCTCATGAAGTCGCTTTTGGGATAAAACACATAAGATTTTTAGTTCATATCAGCTCTAGGCTTTTCTTGGGGCCAGTGCTGAAGGCTTATCCATTATTTCTGAGTGCCTGACTCCTCAAGGATTAGTGTGCTTCTTCACGTTGTTCCTTATCAGGTTAGTTATTTGGTAGACACCACTGTGGCCCTGTGCTGAGGGGAACCAAGATGCAAAGGCAACTAGGAGTTGGTGGTTTGATACCACCAGTGGGCAAGGTCATCTTCCTTGTGCTGTGTCAGCTGCCCCCTATTATTTATTTATTTATTTATCTATTTATTTTGTGGAACTAGGAATTGAACTCAAACCCTTGTGCTTGCCAGGGAAGTGCTTATTCTACTGAGCTATCTCTGGGCCCCCCTATTTTTTTTTTTAAAGAACTATTCATTGTTGGAGGAGAGATTAGCAATACATTCTTAAAATTTTTTTATCAGTAGTCCATTTTTTACTGACCACACCTACACATGTAGAATTATCTCCTAGTCTATTTGTACACTAGTTTGAGTGCTAGCAAAGGAGGGATGCTTGCTCCGCTTCCCTGATCCTTAAATGTAGGGTTCCACTCTGTATGTTTGGTAACTCTCCAGAACTGCTAGTCTGTTTCCTTCACTAAATTTAAGCATCTCCTCTAAATGAGTATAACTAAACATCTAAGTGAATAACCCATGTTTATTTCTTTCATGAAAGCTGTTTAAATAGTATTAATTTTTCTGGAATTAGCTTTATATTTTATTTTCTGCTCTGAACTCTAATAAAAGTGTTATGTTTGTTTATCATTTTGGTCGCATGGGGCAAGCTCAGTTTTCCCCCAATATATAGAACACCATCCTTTCTCTTTATTTTTTTCAGGTTCTGTTAATCTTTTGAGACCCAACTGAATCCATCTATTTCTTGACATTTATTTACTCAACTCTTTTCACCCATAATCTTATACTCATTATAATTTTTCTCTTATTTGAATTTTTGTGGTGGGCTGGGGAGATAGCCTAGCAGCTTAAGTGCTTGCCTAGCAAGGACAAGGTCTTGAGTTCAATCCATCCCTAGTACCAAAAAATAAACTTTTGTGGCTTTTCTGTTTCCCCACCTCACCAATAATGAGGAGGAAGCCCAGGGATTTCGCACTGAGTTACATCTCTTCTTTTTTTGTTGTTTTTAATTTTGAGACAGAGTCTCACTAAGTTATCCAGGCTGGACTAGAACTTGCTGTATTCCTTCCTGCCTTCGCCTCCCAAAGTACTGGGATTACAGGCCAGAACCACCAGGCCTGGCTGTACTTGAGCCAGTTTAGTATTTAATTACATAATGTTCTGTTCTGTTCTTGTTTCATTTCCCACATAGTGTTTATATAAGCTCCTTGAGAATGTCAAACTCACGACTTGCTCTTTCACTCTTTTGTGTGTGCTTGACAATGGGCTCTTACTATGTGGCCCGGATAAGTCCCAAACTTACAGGCTCAAATGCCTCTCCTACCTCAGTCTCCAGAGAAGGTGGGGTTTATTTTTTCAGTTCATTGTTAGTGATTTTTTTTCTTCAACTTTATCTTAGCTGTCCATCCTTAGTCAGTCCTTGGGCTTTGTCAGCATTTAAAATTGTTCCTCCCTCAGATCACTATACATTTCACTTTGACCACAACTTCTCATACTTTCCAGCTTTCCTAAGTTTCCCCATGGCTTCCAGATCATCTGACTTCATGGGAATTTCCATTTTATTGACCTACTTTTCACCACCCCCACATCCCTCTCTCTTTACTTTTCTCCTGTTCCAGCATAGATTTTATGATTTTTTTTTTTTTTTTAATGTATTTGGCACAGGGTCTACAGGGTCTCACAACACAGATGGGACTCATAGTGATCAGCCTCCCAAGCCCTGGGATTACAGGCATGGGTGCCACCATGCCCAGTCTCAGTCACCTCAGCACTCCCCAGGGAGGGCCAGCACAGTATGCTGGGGATCAAACTTTATGATTTGTCATTTTAGTTGGTTTCTTACATGTGCTATAAACTCCTGTTCCTACCTTGTGGTAGTACTCTTTGCTAAAATGTTAACTCTGAGTTAATATTTATCGGCCTCCTTAAGTATCTGTACCCAAGCATTTGAGCACTTGTGAGAAAATTACAAAAGAAAATTAATACTACTCTTTGTTTTTTGGCAGAACCGGGGATTGAACTCAGGCCCTTGTGCTTGCCAGGGAAGCACTTATTCTACTGAGCCATCTCCCTGCCCCCAATACTACTCTTAAGTTCACATTCATTGTCTTGAGTTGTTTTCACAATATTTCTTGAAAGTTTTTCAGTGATTTTTTGCAAGTCCATTCCTTACAACATTTTTATTTTAATGTATTTAGTACAGAGTCTACAGGGTCACACTACATAGATCAGACTTGTAGTGATCCTTCCTGTTTTTCAGCCTCCCAAGTGCTGGTATTACAGATGCCAGTCTGAATTGCAGTTTTAGCATGCCCTGGGGTCAGGGCCAGCATGGAAATCATAACATTTTTCAACTTATTTTTTTCAAACCCATTCATCTTTTTACTTCTAAGTTTTCTTGAATAATCTTGCCTGCTACTGTATAAAGCTAAATTCTGCCTTCTCTTTTATCACCTTGATAAATGTGTCAACCTATTACCTTCAAATTGTTAAAGAAGTTTTACTTACTGAAGCAAGTGCTCAATAGGAATGTTTTCCCTTTTCCTCCTGTTTTCTTTTTTTTTTTTAAATGTTTTTTTTTTTTAATTTTATTTATTTATTTGTGGGGGGGGCAGCTCAGTCCACCAGGGGGCGGGCTGCCTGGCATGTGGTGCTGGGGGATTGAACCGTGGTCCCTGGGCCTCGCTAAGCTTGTTATAAGTAAGCGCTTTAGACCACTGAGCCATCTCACCAGCCCCCTCCTATCTGTTTTCTACATCTGCTCATGTTGTATGTTCTGCCTAAGCCCTTCTTTAGATTTCTTTTCCCCTCTGAAAGTTAAAAATTCTTAAAACACCTTGAACCATGTCTTCTTTGCCAACTTCCCCAGCCTCATCTCTCCATTTTGCTTCTCAGTTACTATGCTTTAAATTCCTTAGTTTCTCAGATGTGATGTGACAGCTCTCTTTGCATACATCCTGTCCCTACACATAATTTGTCTTCATGGTCTCCACCTAAGTCTTATGTTGTGCTGGCAAAATAGTGATTAAGAATCTGGACTTTCTGGTTAAATTAACCCAGTTCAAGGGTTCTCTGTACCTTAGTTTCCATATCTATAAAGTGGAGCTGTATTTACTTCAGTAGTTGTTAACTAGCTCAAATGACAAGAGTTTTGTCAGGTATGTGGTTCACATCTGTAATCCCAACACTCTGGAAAGATAAAGCAGAAGGTCACAAGTTCAAGCTCACCCTGGGCAATTTAGCAATTTCAGTCAGAAGAGATCCTGACTGAAAAAAAAGACTAAGGGTAGATAGCTCAGTGTGAGTGCCCTGGGTTTAATCCCTAGTACCACACATACAAAAAAAGTTTATGTATTTGGCATAACATCTCTGATATAATAGATAATAAATACTTTTATTACTTCATAAAGCTGACTGCCCTTACTAGAGTCAGATTCTTGAGTTTGACTTTATAACTATACTGCAAGCAAGGGGAGATGAATTTTATTGAGTATTTGTCTATATTGTCCCTTCTCTGTGACCTTCCCTCATTTTTAACACAAATTTGTGTTTGATCATCATTTTTACTATGGCTTTCATTTTTAAATGTAGGCAACATCCGGGATACTTACTACGTAAAAGAACACTGGAAGATCTTCCTATTCAAGGACTTAAGGGGATAGATGAAGATGATCCTGTTAACTCTGTCCACAGCATGAAACTGACCAAATGTTCTTTCCAGGTTGATAGGTATGGAAACTTCTTTTTATTATTTGGTTTATTTCCTTTTTTTTTTTTTCCTATGCTGACACTGTATCTTTTCACTAAAGGTCTTTCCTAGGTTGATACTTTTAAAGGCATGTTTGGCCTGGTTTAGTGTTTTTACTTAGAGCCTTTCACTGTAACCATGTATTACTCTGTCTTTCAGATCTTGGAGTGCCCAGTTATTATCCTTGAATGAAACAAAAAAGAGCTCCAAACTAGATATTTCTTGTGTTCCATGGTTCCAGGATATTTTGCATTTGGAGTCCCCAGAATCTGGTCATCATGGTACCAGTGTGCCAAGCTGGATTTTTATTTCACAGGACATGATGCAGGGTCAGTATGATCTTCTACAGAAAGATGATGCCAAGACCAATGATCCTGGAAAATCCTGGAAGATAATGCACTTCAGTGAACGAAAGGAATCTACAGAACTTAAATGTGTGTCTGTGACAGGGTTCACTGCACTGTTTACTTGGGCAGCGGAAACAATTGACTATACTATTGTCCTCTGGGATTTGGAGACCCAGGCTTCGCAATGTTTCTCCTTTGGCCAGAAGTGTATTCCTGTAGACAGTGGAGACCAGCAACTGTGCTTTGTTTTGACAGGTAAGACTGTTTTATGTCAAGTTAAAACACATTATTGAGGAATGTAGTTTCTTAATGTATTTTACTTCTGCCCCTGATCTCTACCCATGGGTATTCTTACCTTGAGGTGGTAATCACCTACTGATGAAATTTGGCATTTAGTCTTGTTAACATTGGCTCATACTTTGATTCTTAATTAAGATTATTGCTCTCCAGCTAAGTGTAAAGTTTAAGATAAGGAAGGTTAAAATTTTAACCCAGAGAATCTTAATTGGACTTGGTTTGGTATAAGCAGAGGTTGGAAGCTGGGTGCTTATGGGCCATGAATGAACTACAGATTTATTTTGTTTAGTTTGCACTAAACCAAACAAAATAAATTTTTAAAAAGTAGATTTTTTAAAAAATGACTATTTCGATTTTTTTGAGGCGGGTATTGGGGATTGAACTCAGGACCTTGTGCTTGGCAGGCAGGTGCTTATGCCACTGAGCTACTTCTCCAGCCCATTAAAAAATGACCATTATGAATAGGCATAATTAGAAGATTTTACCCAAAAATCTAGATTTCCAAGTATTACTGACCTAACAATACTGGGCAGGCATTCCTGTATAGGAACTTAAAAGTTGAGCCTTTTCGATTGTCTTCTTAGATGGGCCATTTTATTTTATCTTGCACTCTACTTACTACCTGATGCTTACAGGCATGGGGCATTTTGATATGTCATATATGCTTCATCGTGCCCGATTGTGATTGAACTGTGTTTCTACTTTAGTACTCTGATTTTGGTAATCACGTATTTGTGTGTCAGGAGTATGCTGTTTTATTGTCGCTTGTACAAGTACAAGATAATATAAGGTAGAAATGTGCAGTTCAATGCTGTTTCATAGGATACATTGTTTTTTGTTGTTGCTTTTTGTGGTGCTAGGGTTTGAGCCCAAGTATTCACTTTTGCTTGCTATGTAAGCAGTCTGCTGCTGAACTACATCTCAAGCCTCACTTCAAATGATAATTTGCCCCTGTTAGGATTACAGGCATGTGCCACCACACCTGGCTGTTTTTGCTTTTTTTGAGAAAAGTTCTTACTGTATAGTCCAGATTAGTATCTTAAAAATAAAAATCTGGAAAACCATGAGTTAAAGTCATAATACATGATATCCAGTAAATGTGTTTATAACTACAGTTCTGAAATGTTGAGTAATTAGAAATAAATTCCTAATTCTAAAACTTAAATCCTAGTAATCCTAATTTTATTTTTCCTGTAGAAAATGGACTCTCTTTGATTTTGTTTGGTTTGACTCAAGAGGAATTTTTAAACAGACTAATGATCCATGGAAGCGCCAGTGTTGTGGACTGTCTTTGTCATCTGAATGGGTGGGGGAGATGCTCAATTCCCATACATGCCCTAGAGGTAAGAGAAGTAAATGACTGTAGAACTTTACTTGCTGTCACATACTCAGACTGAGGTTCTGAGAGAATTCTTTTAGCTAGCACCAAAAAAAGCTAATCTTTACCCTTTCATTTGCTCAGGTCTGTTTCATTTCTCTAACTTTGCTTAGCAGTTTACCCTTTTTGACTTTAAAAGATATGACATAATACAAGATTACAGCCAGCTGTGGTAGCTGATGTAACAATTCCAGTACGCTGGAATTGCTGCAAATTCAAGGCCAGCCTGAGCTATATAGTAAGTTTAAGGCCAGCCGGAACTACTTGGTGAGACCCTATCTGTAAAAAAATAAAAGCCAGAAGTCTTTCATCTCCATGATTAGATTGATCCCTAGGTATCATGTTTTTTATGAAGTATGTGTTTAATTATTAGCTATTGTGAGTGGAATTTTTTTTTTTTTTTTTTTTTTTAACCAGGAATCAAATTCAGGACCTTGTGCTTGCCAAGCAGGAACTGTACTACTGAGCTATATCCCCAGCCCTTGAATGGAATTTTTTTTGCCTGGTTTTCTTTTTTAGTTGGTATATTGGTATATAGAAAAGCTGCTGATTTTATGTGCTATTACTTTGCTGAATCTGTTTATGAGCTCTAAATATGTTTTGGTAGAGTCTGTAGGGTCTTCTAAATACAAAATCTTTTGTTTGTTTTTGTGTTTTTATTTTTTTATTTATTTTTTGGCAGAACCGGGGATTGAACTCAGGCCCTTGCACTTGCCAGGGAAGCGCTCATTCCACTCAGCCATCTCCCGGGTGGCCCCTGTTTTTATGTTTTTAAAACACAGTCTAGGGGCCGGGGAGATGGCTCAGTGGAATAAGCGTTTCCCTGGCAAGCTCAAGGGTCTGAGTTCAATCCCTGGTTCCGCAAAACAAACAACACAGTCTCACTATGCGGTGCAGGCTGGAGTTGAGCTCACTTTGTAAGTAAAGCTAGTCTTGAACTTCCGATGATCTTCCTGCCTCTCAGCCTCCCTAGTGTTAGGATTACAGGCATGTGTCACCACACCTGGCTGTTTTGCTTTTTTTGAGACAAGTTCTTACTGTGTAGTCCAGGCTGGCTTCAAACTCATGGCAGTCCTCTTGCCTCAGCCTTTCAAGTACTGGGATTATAGGTATGCACTACCATGCCTGGCCAGATTCAAACTCTGCAAACAAGGATAATTTGACCTTGTTTGTTTGCCTAAACTATTTGAAGGTTGCAAACTTTATAACTCTTCACTGTGAGTACCTTAACAAAAATATTCTCTTATTTAATCATAGATAATTCAGTTTTTCCTCCCATCACCCAGAGCAAAAGCATAGTTAATTCTTTATCTCCTTCTAGGGCGAGTTATTTTCTAGTTTATTCCTTTGTGGGGAACAAACCCTTGTTTTTTCTCTTCCCATATTTCATCATTATTTCTCATCCTAGCTTCCCTTATATATTAACATCCAGAATTTAGGCCAATTGTTTCTCAAGATATGGCCCCCAAACTAGCAACATCATTACCTGGGGATTTATAAGCAATACAGATTCTTTTTTTTTTTTTTTTTTTTTTGCTCCGAATGCCTTCAGGGCAGCTTTGGCTGGCTTGAGTTGTGGGGATCAAACCACAGCAAGCTGAGCCTGACTGCTTTTAAGCAATACAGATTCTTGGGGACCCTCCATACCTACTGAACCAAAATTGTGGACACAGGCTCAACAGACCACATTTTGCCCAGTTTTCCATGTAGGTGCATTTTGTTGTTCTTGTTTGTTTTGCAGTGCTGGATATTGAGTCCAAGACTTTGTGCATTTTAGGCAAGTGTTTTACCACTGAGCCATGCCCTCAATCCTAGACTGAGGCTTTTACATGTTCTATATAAGATTCCTGAAGATGCCTCGTTAGAAATAGTCTGTTTTTAGCCCACTTATTCAGTTTGTTGTTCCTATTGTTCATTTATTTTTATACGTGTGGTGGGGACCGACCCAGGAATCAGTTTATTACTAACCTGACATAAAATTTTAATTCAAATATGTAAAACTTGATGGCACATTCCTATAATCCCAACACTTGGGAGGCTGAGGCAAGAGGATCACAGTGAGTTTGAGGCCAGCCTGTGCTATATAGTGAGTTCAAGGCCTGCATGAACTATATAGCAAGACCCTGTCTCAAAAAAAAACTAAAAACAACAATAAAAATTGTTTTTCAATTTAAACAGATTGTAAGTAAACTGTAAGGATGATTCCCAACTACTTAGCTGTCAGTGGTTTTAGAATTATAAAATGTTATAGCTACAAATATTTTCTAATCCTGTAATACCAGCCACTTGGAAGGCAGAGGAAGAAGGATCATGAGTTTAAGGCCAGATTGGGCAGCATAGCACTTTTCTTATCTTAAAGAAAAAAAAAAAAAAAAAAAAAAGGTAAAACTCTTAAAGTCATAGGTGTTAAAAGGTACAATCAAACAGAGTGAAAAGAAAACTTACAATCTTAAAAAAAAAAAAAAAAAAAAAATCCCAGGTATTTCCTTGGGTTGCATAGTCATTTTTCTAATTCTCATTAGAATTTAGGTTCTGATACAAAATAAAGATAGCCTTGTATCTCCTTAGCCTTGGAGATAAAGTTAAAAAGAAACTGTATCCTAATTTTTTTATAAGCAATACAGATTCTTACTATATAGCCCATCCTGACTTTAAAGTCACAACCCTTCTGCCTCAGTCCCCTGCCCTCTGCCAAGTGATTTTTTTTTTTGTGCTATTGTAATTTTTCTGATTTTCCCCCCCAATATATATGCTTTAGGCTGGGATAGAAAATCGTCAGCTTGACACTGTAGATTTCTTCTTAAAGAGCAAGGGAAATCTTTTTGCTACATCCTCAAAATCTTCTGTACCTGATCAGTTGGATCACTTTCCAGCCCAGTTATATTTAAGAAGTAAGTACACCAAAGACTTCCAACTTGTGCATATCATTTTAATTGCTTTCAAATTATTGTTGTGTTTTCTGATGACATCTTTAGTGGCAACTTTCCCAATACTTCTTTTCAAAATTTTATCTTTTCTTTTTAACAAATTAGGAGCTTAGCTTTTCTTCTTAGACCAGTTATCCATGCACATTCTCTCTTTAGAAGGATATAGTTAAAAAAAAAAAAAAAGAAAGAAAGATACAGTGATAGACTGTGTTTCCCTCTGTATATTTAGTATGATGATCTATTTTTTCCTACTTGATAATATGTTGTAGACATCTTGCTATAATATATGTACTTACCAATTATGATGGCATGGGATTTCATTGTATGTATGGGCAATCTCATAATTTGCCAAGCCCCTTTAGACAGTTATATTGATTCCAGTTTTTATTATTGGTAATGTGCCATATTGTGTGTGTGTGTGTGTGTGTGTGTGTGTGAATGTCTATGTCTGTATCTGTGATGTTTCACATAATGTGTGATTATTTACTTGGGTTAAATTCTAAATGTGCAATTTTCAGATCTAAGAATACTCACAATGCACATTCTTAATAGCCTTGATAAAATACACTCCAAGAAAAGTTTTATCAATTTGTATTTCTAGTTACATAGAGGAAGAAGACAATGTTAGTGTCAATTTTAACTGAGAATATAAATTAGAAATTTTCTTTTTAAGCCTGGCATGATGGTACATGCCTATAATCCTAGCACTTGGGAGGCAGAGACAGGAGGAATGCCATGAGTTCAAAGCCAGGCTGAGCCACATATTAAGACCCTGTCCCAAAATACAAAATAAGAAATTTTGTTTTTAAATTTTCATCTGAGCATAGTTACACACATCTGTAATCCCAGCACTCTGGAGGCTTGAGGCCATGAAATCTTACAAGATCACTGTGAGTTTAAGACAAGCCTGGGCTACATAGTGAGCCCTATCTTATTCATCTTCTTTTCTTCTCTTCCCTCCTTCTTTCTCCTCTTCCTCATTCTCCTCTTTGTCCTCATCCTGTTCTCTTTTCTCTTGTGCCAGGGGTCAAACCTAAGGCCTTGTGCCTATTAGGCAAGTACTCTGCACTGACTTGATACCTCTAATTCTTCATTCTTCTTTATCTTCATTTTGACTGCTTGCCCTCTCTGTCTGTGTGTCTGTCTGTCTCTGTCTCTGTCTCTGTCTGTCTATCTCTCTATTTCTCTGTCTTTCCTGACAGGGTTTCACTCTATACTTCTAGCTAGCCTGCAACTCATTATGTAGCCCAGCCTAGCCTTACATTCAGTGGATCTTCCTGCCTCAGCCTCCCAAGTGCTGGGATTACAGGCATGTGCCACCATGCCCAGCCTTCTCCTTTCTTAATTTATGGGGTTCACTAGTCATTTTTAATCTTGAATGTACAAGAAAGGCTTAGTTTGTAGTACCAAGTGGTGTTCCATCTGTGGTTGTGTGGTCATTATTCATTTCTATTGTTTGATGGTCAGTGATCCCTCTTTACTTGAATCTTACCTACACTGCTTTGCTCTAGAAGGTGGGAATGGGTCTTGAATAAGAAGAGTGGGAATAGGCTTTACCAACTTTCCTGGGGAAAGCCCCTGTTTTCCATAAATTCTCATTCACATAGATAGCATTTACAGGTAGGCCCAATACAGAGATACAGAAATCCCTTCATTAGAGCTTTCAGTTGCAAACAGAGGATGGGGCAGTTGGGGGAGGGGGACAGCCTCACACTCCTGTCACCTGAATATTGAAGTGTCTTTGCACTCACAGTTCAAGTTCAAATTTCATGTCTGCCACCTATTAGCCTGTACAAGTTACTTATCCTCTTGACCCTGTTCTTTGTTGAAAGGTACAGATGAGATAGCATTGGTAAAACATCATACTTAAGATGGAGATGTTCAACAGAATCATAGTTAATGTCAGTAGCTAAGCATGATGGTACATGCATGTAATCTTAGCTACTTAGGAGACTGAGGGAAGATGATCACACATTCAAGGCTAGCCTGGGGTATAAAGCAACACCCTGTCACAATCAATTGATAAAACCAATAAATAATAACTATTGGTAACTAAAATCATTGAAATTTATAGGTAATAAGCCTTCATAAAAGTTTGGTGATCATTATGAAAATAAGACATTGGTCCTTATTTATACATAATGCAAAATGGTATTTTTGGATATGTTAGTTTTAATTGGGAATTATCTAGTGTTCATGTTGATTTCTTTGGTTCTTTTTCAGATGTGGAAGAGCTGACACCAGCATTGGATTTACTGTGCTCAGCAATTAAAGAAAATTATTCTGAAACCCAAAGCAAACACTTTGCAGAACAATTGCTTACTCTTACTCTGTCTTTCCTTAACAAACAAATAAAGGAGCTTTTTATTTACACTGAAGGTAAGAATAGCAGAAAGCAGCGAAGTAGTTGTATCATTCCTGTGTCTGGACAGAAATACTGACGTTGCTTTTGCATGAAAAAGCTTAAGCTGGTAGAGTACCAAGTACTAATTTGACTAGAATAAATGTGTAATTGAAAATAAAATGGGTTTTAACACTGGGAAACTTGGTAGAAAGACCTGGGAATAATTGTGAAATATGTGAAAAAAGACTGTATGAAAATACCACTACCTATAAATAGAACCAGCTTAAAACATACTGTTTGAAATTTGAAAATAACCATTTTGAAATTGGGCATCCTTTAGAATTCTTCATAATTATAACCAATCATGGTACCTTCTTTCTGTCTCCCTCTTTCCTTCATATGTACACATACATATTAGCTGGTATATTGACATTTTCCACTTTCCCATAGAGCTAGATGAACATCTACAGAAAGGAGTGAATATTTTGACCAGCTATATTAATGAGCTTCGAACTTTCATGATAAAGTTTCCTTGGAAACTAACAGATGCTACAGATGAATATGATGTAATTGAAAATATCTCCACAGTAAAGGAGACTGCTATTTGGGAAAAGCTCAGCTTTGAGGTAAATATAAGCTATTATACTATTATTTTTTTTCCATAATTTTATTGAGAAACAGCAATGAGACAGTTTCAAACCAAATTGGTAGGACAGTTTCAATAATTAACACATTGCATACATCCTTCCTAGTGGTTAATTGCTGTACAAGATGCGGACTTGATATCCTATTTACAAACACCATTAGAACAAATCCCTCGGGGCCAGGGAGACGGCTCAGTGGAATAAGCGCTTCCCTGGCAAGCACAAGGACCTGAGTTCAATCACCGGTTCTGCCAAAAAAAAAAAAAAAAGAACAAATCCCTTTATTCATTAAGAGAATGTAACTATGTATCTATCCTAACCACATTGAATACACAGATACAAAATGGACATTCATTTGTATCCCCTTTTTTTGTTCAGTTCCATCATTTAAATATTATTGGTGTGTAAACTCAGTAAAATATTCTAAAAGACTTCAGTAGTCCATAATAGTATTGGGTCTTCTGCTTCACTGGCAATGTCAGAAATTGTTGACCCGAGTCCCCTACAGCTCAACATAACACCATGGGTTTACTTCTTATACTTCGTTTTTATACTTTTCTGCTGGATGGTTAAGACCAAGGTAAAGCAGGACCTATGCAACAAGAGTTGTAGCTTTGATAAGGTCAGTGAAATTCCCCTCAGGATTTATCCTGAGATCCTGTACCTCAGATTGTAGAACCTTTGTCAGTGTCCGCCATGTGGATGAGTCCCGGCCACTGCTTGGCCAGTGTGCTCTCTGTGAAAGCCTGAGAGAATGTTTTCTCTCCATGTGACTCTCCTTAGGCACACTCTATATCATCGATCACTTTCCTCTTTGGCCCCATAATCTCCTTGATCTGAAAATTTGGACACTACTGAGTTATATGACATTAAAGTACAAGTTCTCATATGTCCTGAGTCTTAAGTGAAGGCTAGGGCCAAAATGTTGGCTTCCCTTGCGGCCCTCCTTTTTCTCTTAATTTTGGTCTGCAAACTTAGGTTGTTAACCATCCACAAGACAAGCTTATTGTTATTACTATACAACTTAGACTGTTAAACTTAACCTTACTATCTGTCTGCATATCAAACATCTTAGGCATAACATGGAACAGGTATTTTTCATCAAGTATTGATGTGTTGAACTTTAAGTCCCTACAGAATATGATGAAAAAACATTTAAAAATTAGAATATATTTTTTAAAATAGGCATAAAGAATGATTATACTATTATTTACCAGATCTGAGAGAACACTAGAAGAAATAGAATTCAGATTCTATATTCTGAATTTGATTTGGAATCTTTAGCTAGGGTTTTAGATTTTATAAGTTTTGACATCTCTGGACATCACTTCAGATTTATATCTACAAACTGTTCATTTAATTCAGAATGAAGACAGCCTTCGTCTCAGTGCCAGATAGGTCTACACCCTTGGATCGATGCACTGGGGGCTTCTTCCTCACATGCTCCCTCAGTGGCGTGAGCCTGGTACTTGGGACCCATTCATTCTCCCTGGTCACTGAATCATCTGAGTTGCTCCTGTGATTAGATCTTAGCAAATATTTATAACTCCATTGCTTCACAGTGGACTTGACTTGATTCCTATTAAAAATTCTAACCCATTTCTTTTTTTTTTTTTTTTTTTTTTGTGTGTGTGTGTATGTGTGGCCGGCTCAGCCTGCCCTGCTAGCGGGGCTGGTGCAGCATGTGCTGGAAATTGAAACGGGGGATTTTTGATTTCAAATACCAAGTATAGGGGACAAAATGAAAAAGGTGAAACAGGAAGATAAGCCTTCCAAGAAGACAGAACAAGTGTCAAGAAAAAGGGCAGAACAGCTGGGTGTAGTGGCACATGCCTAAATTTTGGGATTCTCATATCACAGAACTTTTTATTTGTATATCCTCCACTAGATCATGAGGGCTTGGAGAGTAGCACCTGTTTTAGTCAGCTTTATATCCTCTGCACCTAGCTCTAAATCTAGTAGTAGATTACAAATAACAAGAACAAAAACAAAGACAATGACAAAGCAACATGAAACAGTACAAATGGTACACAATTTCTTGTTTGCCTTTCTTTTCACGATAGACGTTAATACAAACGAAATGTGCTGTCCTATGACTTACAGACTGAAGTATCCCTTCACCTACCTGGCGTATAGGAGTATTAAAAAGACAAAAGCTAAAATATCTTAACATCGATAATCAGAATCAATAGGCAGTGAAAGAGAGAAGGTTGATTGCTGCCAGGTCCTCAGAACTATTGTTTTTGGGTGGAAAAGTAGATATGGAAGTACCTGGTATGGCCATTTTTTTTTTTTTTTTTTTTTTTTCTTATTCTCTCATCAGGAATGGCCTGTGTTTCCTTCTTTTGTTTGTTTGAGACAGGGTTTTGTTATATAGTGTAGGCTGGATTTGAACTCCCTGTGTGGTCCAAGTTGGCCTCAAAAATCAGTGTAATTCCTCCTGCCTCAGCCTCCTGAGTGCTGAAATTTAGGCATGTGCCCCCTTACCCAGCTGTTCGTCCTTTTTTTTTTGACACTTGTTCTGTCTTCTTGGAAGGCTTTTCTTCCTGTTTTCACTTTTTCATGTTGTCCCCTATACTTGGTGCTCCACTCTTTATTCAGAGTCACTGATGTTTAACTTTTTTTTTTGGTGGGGAATTTGCAGTTCACTTTGATGAAAACTGTGGACCCTGTCCCCAAAAGCATGTGTGTGAATGTGTATGTAACACATATGCAAAATTTTGTGTGTAGCTTACTAGGGTTTATAGATCCCTTGAA